TATATATATATATATATATATATATATATATATATATATATATATAATTTATCTATTATTTATTCACGTCAAAATAAGTTATAATGCACAAATAAGCCAATCAGAATCAAACAGCTCTGCATTTAAAATTGGAATAATTTTTAATCAAGATCTAAAGAAATATGCTTATTTTGATATTCTGACTAACATATTAAAAGGCACCTATTGTGCCCCTTTTTTACAAGCTGTAAAATAAGTCTCTGATGTCCCTAGAGTATGTATGTGTTAAGTTTCAGCTAAAAAGACCCACACAGATAATGTTTAATAGCACTGAAATTTACCCTTTTAGGCTTTGATCATAATTGTGTTGATTTGGTGACTGTCGCTTTAAATGCAAATGAAATTGTGCTCTTTTTAAAAGAGGGCGGAGTCACAAATGCTTGTGTGTCAGCATAGTGGCAGATTCAAAAACAAGACTAAACTCCAATGCTAATGAGAGAGAGATAGTCACTAGTGGGCGGGGCTTATTTCCTCTGATGACACGTACAAGGGGAGAATGTCAATCAAAGTGTTTCTGCAGACTGTTTTTATCAATCGTCATTATAAAAACATAGAATTAGTTACTATTTATGATTATGAGCTTATTATATTTACATACTCTTGCCGCACAACTGTGTTTAAACCCCTTAAAGAAGTGATTTTTGCATAATATCTCCTCTTTAAAGCACTTGTAAAAGTACTTCAGTATAATATATTTGCAGTAGTATTGTGTTAGTTGTTATTTCATCATTGCAAATACGGTCTAACTAACAACTTTTTAAATGCTTTTAGTATCATGTAGGAGTTTTGTAAAGCTACATTACACCCTCTGTTTCTAATAAACATCTCAGTCTCTTGTTTTCCATCTCTATTTCTCTGTTTAGTCTCCGTTTAGCGATTAGTTTGGCTTGTGATTTCGATTAGTTTGGCCAATTGGGATAATTTCCAGAGATATTGTCTGTTTATTTCCATTTTTCTGTAATTTATTTCTCATTTGCTGTATATTTTATTAATTTTATGATGGTAATAAATGACATATATTTTATGCATATCTAAAATGGCATTCAAGTTTGCTTTGAACTTGAAAGATAGAAAAAAGCAGATTTGACCACACAGATAATGTTGTATAACTCTCTGAAACTGACCCTTTCAGGCTTATATCCTAATTGTGCCGTCTTGGTTACTGTCGCTTTAAATTCAAATTAGATTGCTATTTTCAAAAAGAGGGCGGAGCTACAAAGACATGTGTGTCAGCATAGTGGCAGATTCAAAAACAAAACTACACTCCAATTCTAATGAGGGAGAGATAGTCACTAGTGGGCGGGGCTTATTTCCTCTGATGACACGTAAAAGGGGAGAATGTCAATCAAAGTGTTTCTGCAGACTGTTTTTATAAAGCGTCATTATAAAAACAGAATTAGTTACTGTTTACGATTATAAGCTGATTATATTCACACACTCTTGCCACACAACTGTGCTTAAACCCCTTATAGAAGTGATTTTTGCATAATATCTCCTCTTTAAAGCACTTGTAAAGTACTTCAGTATAATATATTTGCAATACTATTGTGTTATTTGATATTAAAACATCATTATTGCAAATACGGTCTAACAAACAACTTTTAAAATGCTTTTAGTATCACGTAGGAGTTTTGTAAAGCTACATTACACCCTCTGTTTCTAATAAACATCTCAATCTCTTGTTTTCCATCTCTATTTCTCTGTTTATTCTCCGTTTAGCGATTAGTTTGGCTCGTGTTTTACATTCTTGTTTTTATTGTAAGCGTTCTGAATGGCTTATAATAAGCTCACTGCAATTAGAGCTCAGCTCGGCTACCGTTTCTTCATTTCTATAGCGGATTTACAGGCTTGGAGTGAGCATTTTATTTCTGCGCATGTTTTCCGTGCTCTCGCCGTGTTCGCAGAAGTTAATCGCGGCGGGGGAGTCGAGGCGCTTGGCATTTGGCGTTGAGTTACAAATCCTGATGCTTCAGACTCGCCATTAGCAGAACAGCAGCGTCTCGCTAATCTCATCTGTGAAAAAGAGGGAGTTTGTGCTTCAAGGATTCACTCCCGTGGAAAAAATAACAGGGGGTTGAGTTGATAAGAATGTGTTGAGACTGCGATGTTCAGGCGGGTGGAGGAGAGCGGGGATCATTGTAACACTTTTGCTTGTGTTTTAAAAAGGTTTAGGATGTGTACTGAACATAACATGGACACACACACACACACACACATTATGTTGAGATGAACCGTGGCCTTCATATCCTCCTACTCAAAAGCTCTGAGATGGTAATTACAAGATGTTTGTATCTGTAAAGAGCTGAGGTGTTGGCCAGTTCGATGTGTGTGTTTGTGTGTAAACAGTAGTGGTGTTGGCCAGTTTGATGTGTGTTTCTCTCTCGTAAACTTGCTGCCAGGATCAGGATGTTGTTTACACAGGCGCAGAGAAATCAAGAGCCTGTAATTGTCTTCATGTACTTTCGCCTTTTCGTGCTGACACCAGGAATAACGGGGACTGCGCTGTGGCTCCACAAGCCCGTCACCTCATAAATCGGCTAAATGAGTGGTGTTTTCTGCCAAGCTTTAGCACTTTTACTCATCAACAGTGCACAAATTGGGTACAAACTACACTGCAAAGTCAATATGTATGAATTATGACTCATTTATGATCAATTTGTTTCTGCCGTTATGTAAACATTCGGGAAATTGAGCTTCGAAATCAGCACCATTTAATCAGCCCCATAAAACATTAACTTATTTACTTTCCTTAGGCTTAATCTCTTATTTATCCGTGGTTGCCACAGCGGAATGAACCGCCAACTTTTCCAGCATATGTTTTACACTGCGGATGCCCTTCCAGCTGCAACCCAGTACTGGGAAACACCCATACACACTTATTCAAACATACACTACCGCCAATTTTGTTATAAATATGAATATAATTAATAATACTGCTAATAATAATAACATTATATTGATGCAGATTGTCATGAATAAAATGAAAAAGCCCCCCGAGGTGAAGTAGGCATGGATGCAGTTGTGTTTATGTTTATATTTATAGAGAAAACAATCTTCTTCTTTTTTTTTTACATTTCAATATTTTAATTATTTATATTTATTCATTTTCTTTCGGCTTAGTCCCTTTATTAATCAGGGATCGCCACAGCGAAATGAACCCCCAACTTATCCAGAATATGTTTTACACATCGAATGCCCTTCCAGCCACTACCTAACACTGGGAAACACCCATACACACTTGCATTCACCCACATACACTACAGCCAATTTAGTAATATTTTTATTTTAATATTTAAATAATAAAAAAAACGTTTACATTTAAGATTAGATATTTGTGGATTGCTGTTCATCCTGTGTGTAAATGAGAATCCCTGATCTAGACACACTACATTTAGCATGCATTGTGTGTACATTAGGCTTGAACGACTAAACCAATGCTTATGTAACCCCACCGGTTCAACACCGCCCAACTCGCTCGGAGCTGGGATCGATCCGGCGACCTTCCGCATGGGAGTCAGTTGCTCTAACAAGGAGGCTAAAGACCATGGCCTCTAGTGTCTGTCGCTAGAGCACCTTTAGAGGTCAGCGGAGTGAGGTTTACCTGCACAGCACACACTAGCTGGCCTCCGTTACACTCACCCCCCTAAACCTCACTCCCAGCCAGGTCACAGCACCAATGTAACCCCGCCGGTCCTACACCACCCAACCCGCTCCGAGCTGGGATCGAACTGGTGACCTTCCGCATGGGAGTCAGTTGCTCTAACAAGGAGGCTAAAGACCATGGCCTCTAGTGTCTGTCGTTAGAGCACCTTTAAAGGTCAGCGGAGTGAGGTTTACCTGCACAGCACACTCTAGCTGGCCTCCGTTACACTCACCCCCCTAAACCTCACTCCCAGCCAGGTCACAGCACCAATGTAACCCCGCTGGTCCTACACCACCCAATCCGCTCCGAGCTGGGATCGAACTGGTGACCTTCCGCATGGGAGTCAGTTGCTCTAACAAGGAGGCTAAAGACCATGGCCTCTAGCGTCAGTCGCGGAGTAAGGTTTACCTGCACAACACACACTAGCTGGCCTCCGTTACACCCACTCCCATCCGGGTCACAGCACCAATGTAACCCCGCCGGCCCTACACCGCCCAACCCGCTCCGAGCTGGGATCGAATTGGCGACCTTTCGCATGAGAGTCAGTTGCTCTAACAAGAAGGCTAAAGACCATGGCCTCTAGCATCCGTCACTAGAGCACGTTTAGAGGTCAGCGGAGTGAGGTTTACCTGCACAGCACACACTAGCTGGCCTCCGTTACACTTAGGTCTGTTTAACTGATTATATTTTAATGACATTACAGCATCGATGCTGTCAAAGGAATTGTGTGAAATTGAAAAATAGTCACGTAAACCTTTCACCGGAAGGCTGAAAAACACTAGCTGCATTCCACTTTTGATCTTTATCAATATTTCCTGTCTGTTTTAGACTGAATGACGCCCCTGTAAGAGGCTTTGAGGAGGACGTGGGTAACAAGACCACTCTGCGTCTGTTTTATCCCGAATCCGCCTCCTATAATCCGGGTATCCACAATGACCCGGACACCCTGCTGGTCCTGGTTCCTTTCAAACAGCAGGATCTGCGCTGGCTCAAAGAGATCCTGTATGACGAGAAGAGGGTCAGTCTCCTTCTTTTTTCATTATATCTCCGTGCCAGGTTTCCCTCCGACTTCCCAGTAATCATGAGGCAATGTTTATTCAGGTTCAGAAGGGTTTCTGGAAGCCTCCTCCTCAGATTTGGCTTGGCCGGGCTAGTCAGATCCGTGTGCTGGACCCGTATTTCCTCCGAATAACAGCACGAAAGTTTCTCCAAATTCCCGTGCAGCCGCGCAAACAACAGGTGAGATCCATACACACACAGACACAGAGCCAGACTATAAAAACACGTTTAAAAATCAGTTGTGAGCCGATGTGTTTTCTGTAAAACCTGTATTTGCATGATGCAAAACACAGACACAGAGAGAGACTAGATTGTTAACCATATTCAAATCACTGGCAACATCATCTTCAGTAAGATCTCTGCTGCTGTCTAAAGGCTCGTTGACACCCATAGATATATACACTAGATATCGCATAGGGACCCTGAGCATGTGTCAATAGCGCCGCCACATTGGTACAGTGCTCCCAGGATAAATGTCATTCAACCGCACTAGTCAAGACAGTGTTATTACGTGAAGATGCGGGACTTTAGCGCTGTCTACGGGTGTAGAAACGAGCAAACAAAGAAATCAAAGCACAAAGGCAGAACATTTCATAGGTAATATACATTTTTTTCTGTTTTTGTATGTTCTGAACTTTTGTGCTAATCAGGTAACGTTATTGATGATAACAGTCACTTACTGCATTCACCATACGGCAAAGTAGCTCCAACTCGCACTAAACACTCGGCTTATGCTAGTTTTGTTGAATAAAATCAGCAAACAATGCAAAAGAAAAATGACAACGAGATGCTGCGCTGCCAGAAACTTGTATTATTGTCGGCTAACGCTAGTGAAAGAGTTGTTCGGGGGATTCATTCACAAACGAATCGCTCCCTCCGTCAGTATGAGAAGTGAAAGCAGGAGAGGAGCTGTGTTTCAGGACATGATTATATTAAATTTAACAGGGAGGGTGAATAGTACATTTCTGTACACACAAACACAAGCTTTTTGTCAGGAATGGCCGTGCGGTCACTGATCCATAATGTAGAAAAGTGATGTAAAATTATAATTTTCGTAATTAGAAAAAAAAATTGCATACTAACATCCAGGAAAACTCCCGATCATAGATATATGTGTTTATGTGTATATCTCTGGCTTTGGATGGCTACAGTCCTCCACTGTACCTTGGTCCCACATTCATTTCCAAGGAGCGCTACCCTGTAGCAAGATGGCGGCGCTTTTGGCGCATTCCGTCCAATAGACAATAGGCCAGGCGACATCAAGTGTATATATCTATGGTTAACACCAAGCAAATTCACGATAAATATAAATATATTAAGTGAAGTTTATTTATAAACTAATTTTGAGAGGATCACGTGCTTATGATTGTTCTCAGCTGCTCCCACATCAGCTCATGACTGATTCTCCAATCAGACGATTCCTATCTCACTATAAATAACCAGAGTTTTCTTATCTCAATATCTTCGTCTTGAAGAATCCCCTCCTACCTGCCCCTACTCCCCCTCCTTTCCAGATGGGTGATACAGATCCGGCTTAGTGATTAGCACTGTTTCCTCATAGCAAGAATATCTCTGGTTAAAGTCCCTACTAAACCAGATGACATTTCTGTGAGGAGTTTGCTCGTTCTCCCCGTGCCTGTTTCCCTGGATTCTCTGTTTTCCTCCCACAGTCCAAATACACGCAACTTAAGTGAATTGATCATACCAAAATTGACCAAAATTAGCAAGTACATCTCTCCTCAGCCATCCATATCTGTCCTTAGCCAGAAATAAGCCGGAGGGAGTTCATTAAGAACTACCTGAGCTCAAACTCCCCTCTCGCCCTGCAAGCGAGAGTAAGCCCAGGGCTCAAGGATTGCATAAGCTCAGGGCTCTCTCCTTTGACAACATGCCAAACAAGCTTTATTATCAATCATCAGCTAAGTGTGAACTCTTATATAAATGTACAGTTGAAGTCACAATTATTAACCCCCCTTTGATTTAGTAAAAATGTTTTCCAAATGATGTTGAACAGAGCAAGGAAATTTTCACAGTATGTCTGATAATATTTTTTCTTCTGGAGAAAGTCCTTTTCGTTTTATTTCGGCTACAGTAAAAGCTGTTTTAAATTTTTAACACCATTTTAAGGTCAATATTATTAGCCCCTTTAAGCTATATTTTTTTCAGATAGTCTACAGAACAAACCAAAGTTATACAATAACTTAACTAATTACTCTAACCTGCCTAGTTAATAATAACTCTTATTACGAATAATTAATACTTCAGCTTCAACTGTATGTGTATCCACACAGACAAACAATAACAATCTGTTTATTTTTAGATCATGCCTTTAATAGGGCCTTAATTGTGCTGCTAGCGCATCTGAACACACTATTAAGCTGGTGATGTTTAATCAATAGTCAAATAATCAATTTAGCAACCATAATCAGTTTAACTAGCACTGGATTCCTGTGCTACTTTTATTTTTGTACTTCAATCTGCCTGCATGACTTTCATAACTTTTTAAAGGAATTTTTTTTAAAGGAAATGCTAATGGTCTGATCTGATTTAATTCATCATGCTAAGCTAAGCTAAAATTGAACCCACCAGAACAAAAAATTGTCTGAATGGATTCAAAACATTTAAGGGGCAAAACAGCAGTCTGGATTTGCGCAACTCTTACAGTGTAACCGCAGAAGACTCCAGCTTTAATTAGGGAAATTATTAAAACTCTTTTTAGAATGTTTTAAATGAAATGCTAATGGTCTAATCTGATTCAATTAATTATGCTAAGCTAAGCTAAAAGTAAACCTGCCAGAACAAAAAAATTGGCTGAATGGATTCAAAACATTAAAGGGGCAAAACACCAACCTAGATTTGCACAACTCTTACAGCGTAACTGCAGAAGACTCCAGCTTTAATTAGGAAACTCATTTCAAAGGAAATGCTAATGGTCTAATCTGATTTAATTCATTATGCTAAGCTAAACTAACATTTAACCCACCAGAACAAGAAATTGGCTGAATGAATTCAAAACATTTTAGGAGCAAACACCAGGCCAGTTTTGCGCAACTCTTACAGTGTAACTGCAGAAGAATTGAGCTTTAATTAGGAAAATTATCAAAACTCTTTTTGCTAATGGTCTAATCTGATTCAATTCATTATGCTAAGCTAACCTCAGCCTAGATTTGCGCAACTCTCACTGCATAAGACTCCAGCTTTAATTAGAAAAATTATCAAAACTCTTTTTAGAATGTTTTAAACGAAATGCTAATGGTCTAATCTTATTCAATATAGTATGATAAGCTAAGCTAAGCTAAACTAAAAATGCCAGGACAAGAAATTGGCTGAATGGATTCAAAACATTTAAGGGGAAAACATCCGCCTAGATTTGCGCAACTCTTACAGTGTAACCGCAGAAGACTCCAACTTTAATTAAATTTAATTTGAAATAAAACTCTTTTTAGAATGTTTTAAACAAAATGCTAATGGTCTAATCTGATTCTATTCACTATGCTAAGCTAAGCTAGAATTCAACCTGCCCGATCAAGAAATTGACTGAATGGATTTAAAACATTTAAGCGGCAAAGCACCAGCATAGTCTTGCACAATCCTAAGCACAGTCTCAGCCTCACACTTTCGAAACATTACGCACACACACACACACACGCACAGTGATTTGCAAAACACTAAACATACTTGTATATGCTCGACACAGATAGTTATCGTAATCTCATTTCCTTGCAATTTCAAATCAAAGAACACACTTATGAGCCAATCGGTTAAACACAACCACGACCAAGATACAAATACACAAACAATGCACACACACATACACACACACAAACAGAGACTGAGAGATCAGAAGTTGTAATTACAGGATTACTGTTTATTGAAAAAAGAAAAAAATCATTATTTCATTGTACATTTATTATATATTTGTCATTTATTATTAATTATTCTTCATTATTCATCATTATACATTTCTTTAGTCACTTTGTTTACAATGTAGTGCATGCTTTCTGATTAAAACCTTAATGACAAAATTCATTCATTCATTTTCCTTCGGCTTGGTCTCTATTTTAGGCGTCGCCACAGTGGAATGAACTGCCACTATTCCAGCATGTTTTACACAAAGGACGCCTCTCCAGCTGCAACCCAGCACTGGGAAACACTCATACATACTCACACTCACACATACATTTACACACTCATACACTCCAATTTGGCTATAGCGCATGTGTTTGGACTGTGGGGGAAACCAGAGCACCCGGAGGAAACCCACGCCAACATGAGGAGAACATGCAAACTCCAAAATGAAATGCCAACTGGCCCAGCCGGTACTCGAACCAGCGACCTTTTTGCTGTGAGGCAACCGTGCTGCCTTAATTTACAAAATAAAACACTCAATTTATCTAAAAATACTTAATTTACTAACCAAAATACACTGATTCCTAACATTTGAGCTGTAATATTTGTCAATTTGTGGTGGATGTGTTTCTGGGAAGCGTCTGCATCTGTGGTATTTCCATCCACAGTGAGGGAAAAGGGTATGATTGTGATTATGATTAGAAGTGTGTGTTTATTTTGGGCTCATGATCTCTCATCCTGTTATATAGACAGGAAACTGAAGTTCAGACAGTTTACACTTCCTCCCCACCCAAACTCTCCTCTCTATATACGGCTGAAGTCAGATATATTCGCCCTCCTCGTTCGAATGTTTCCCAAATGATGTTTAACAGAGCAAAGAAATTTTCATAGTATTTCCTATAATGTTTTTTTCTCCTGTAGCAAGTCTTATTTGTTTATTTCGGCTAGAATAAAAGCAGTTTTTAATATTTTAAACACCATTTTGAGGTCAATATTATTAGCCCCCTTAAGCAATATTTGTTTTGGATTGTCTAGGCAAGGCAAACTTTATTTATAGAGCACAATTTAACACAACCGTAGTTGATCCAAAGTTCTTTACAATAAAATAAACTAGACAATAAAACTAAAAATAACTGGTATTAAAATACAATGAAATATATTTAAAAGTAAATCTAAAATATAAATAATAAAAAAATAACATGCATGCATCAGTCAAAGGCAAGAGAGTAAAATTATGTCTTTAAGTTAGATTTAAAAGCATCCAAAGAAGGAGAGATTCTGAGATTCTGTCCAGAGCCTTGGGGCCGCAACACTGAAAGCTCGATCACCCTTTGACTTGCAGCGAGACCGAGGGACAGACAAAAGAAACTGGTCATGGGGTCTTAAGAGTCTACAAGCTGTATATGGCCTAATAAGCTCGCTGACATAGGCCGGGGCAGAATTGTGCAAAGCTTTATAAGTGAAAAGAAGAATTTTAAAATCAACCCTGTATTTTATAGGTAGCCAGTGCAATGAGGCGAGGACAGGGGAGATATGATCTCTTTTCTTAGTTCCTGTTATTAATCTGGCAGCTGCATTTTGGACCATCTGTAGCCGAGAGAGTGTTGACTGAGGAAGGCCAATGTACAAAGAGTTGCAGTAGTCTAAACCATGGGTTACGATTTCTAAATCTTTTTTTTTTAGAAAGAAAGGGTTTAAATTTGCCACCAATCTAAGCTGGAAAAAGCTGCCCTTCACAACCGCATTTACATGTTTATCAAACTGCAAAAGTGGATCGAAGATAACTCCGAGATTTTTGGCGTGATTGTGCAGATTGTCATTTAGGGCTCCTAGCTGAGTTTTAATTGAATTGTTGGTAGCAGCAGGACCTAAAATTAACACTTCTGTTTTATTCTCATTTAGTTGCAGAGAGTTATTTGTCATCCATAGGGTTGTAACAATATACCAGTATGACGGTCTACCACGATTTGAACGTGCACGATTATCATACCATGAACAACTGCATATCAATGGTTTTAACCCTTAAAGACCGAGACGGCTGCCTGCGGCTAAAAATAAGTATTGCTCTTAAATGTTTAATAACTTTTGATCCGCTGATCCGATTCATACAATTCAAAGATTGGCATAAAGAAGAGAATCTCAGCTTTCCAGTGCTGTATCACATAACATTCGCGGACTCAGAGGCTCCGGAATCAGTGCGATTACGTCATCAAAATTTGACAAAGCTGATTTGACAAAGAAACGCTCGTCACTGTGTCTCCGGACAAACCAGACATGATACATTGATGCATTGTCCCTCCTCCATGCCCAGATTGGTTCAAACTCGCTATATCACAACCAATAAGCATAGGTTTCACTTTTGTTTGTGGACCAACACTGAGCTTTTTGAAACACACGGAATGAGAGATAGGCATACATTTATGCGTGGCTAAATAAAATGCAAAAACAAAAAAGTTTTGCATGAAATAATTCTCATACTAAGTACTTTTGCATGCACAGCAGCACAGAAACATGACAAAACAGTGACACAGCAAAGACGAACTGCTGCTCTTGCTGTTTTCAAAAGACGCAAATGAAGGTGCAGCTGTTTGTCTGCATTGCAGACAACCATATCCAAATCCACAGACAACCATATCCATGCTGGCACATAAAACCTAAGGATGTTCCATATTGAATCTAGTTTCGTTATGTAACTATTTATAGTATAGTAAATATTTATATCTATTTTTTTACTGAGGACTTGCACCATGTTTATTTGGACTTTGACACATTATTTCTTATTTTCTTATTTTTTTATTTGTTCATTGTACAAGTGGACACATTCTCTCACCTCAGCGGTCAAGATTAAGTCCTGAAAATCTCAACATGCTTACATTTCTTCATCACAACCTAGACTGAAAAAAACAACGCTTTAAATACATGTTTACAGCCATAAACTTGGTATTGCACTTTTGGTCTCCCATTTATCCTGCTTATAAGGAAGGACAGTTTAAGTTTATTTTTGTCTAATCTTAAAAGACCTTGCTTGTTTATTCCTTCTTATTTAATTTATTAAAATGGGAAATTTTTCAGTTTATTTTTATAAAAGACTTCTATAGTTCTATTAAAATGGTTCTTTCAAAAGTTTGTTGAAATAAAACCTTTGTTCAGTCAGAAAACGTGTTCTTATTCTTTTCAGGGTCTTTGCTATGAGAATTACTATTTAATACCGTATACCGCGAAACCGTCAAACCGTGGTATTGTTTTAGACGATTATCATACCGTAAAAAATTCATACCGTTACAACCCTAGTCATCCTGGTCTTAATGTCGGTAAGGCATAGGAAAAGATTTTCTAATGATAAATCTTTTCCCAGTTTGATTCCTAGTCTACTGAACAAACCACTGTTATACAATGACTTGCTTAATTAACCTTACTTTAACCTAATTTACCTACACTGTAAAAACAAATCATAAAGAAAAGGTCAAATGACTGGCGGCTACGGCTGCCAAACAACAACCATAACATTAAGTAATAATTAGAACTATATATAAGTATAATAATAATTATAATAAGTGATACTTAATATTATTACTTAATTTTAAAATTATTACGTAATTTTAAATGTACTTAAAGGGCCATGACACCCCCCACTTTCGGTTAAAGTCTACTTCAGAATTTTTTCAAAAGATGCATGATTAATGGGCGTGGAGCTCTGCAAGCATAGGGCTGGAGTGGCCAGAAGACTTTTGGACCCTTAACAAGTAAGAGGCACATATAAAAACTGTTGTAATTCCTACAGCGTTCACATGATTTGGATGTAAATACCCTCAAATTAAAGCTGACAGTCTGCAGTTAAAGCACACCTTGTTCATTTTTAAATCCATTGTGTTGGTGTATAGAGCCGAAAATAATAGGATTATGTCGATGTCCAAATATTTATCAACCTAACTGTATGCTGGAATAGTTGGCAGTTCATTCCGCTGTGGCGATCCCTGATGAATCAGAGACTAAGCCGTGGAAAAATGAATGAATGCTGTCGAAGGACATACTAGCTCTTAACCTTCTTACTTATGAGCGCATGTGGTCGACACCGAGGAACAAATGTCAGTCTTTGTGTCGCCTTTAGAAGGAAGTGCTAGCAGAGACATTGCTTCTAAAATTAAACGGAGAGCAAGAAAACGGAACATAGCTAGAGGAAACCATGAGACTAGTCTGTTTGTAGTTCACTTTTGAAACATGCATGGTTGATTCAGTGGTCATATATAGTATTTTCTTGCCTGTAAACAAGTATATATATATATATATATACAGTTGAACTAGGCAAGTTAGGGTAATGTTCAAGTCATTGTATAACAGTGGTTTGTTCTGTAGACAGTCTGAAACAAATATTGCTTAGGGAAGCTACTAATACTGACCTTAAAATGGCTTTAAAAAAAGCTGTTTTTATTCCAGCTGAAATAAAACAAATAAGAAGAAAACATATTACAGAAAATACTGTGAAAACGTCCCTAATCTGTTAAATATTACCTGAGAAATAATAATATTGAGAAATTAATAAACATTGCTCTAATAGTTTTTCCCTCCACTGTATATACAATAATGAAAAATACATTTTATTATATTATTGTTATTACATTATATATATTTATTATATATGCATATATTATACTTTTTTTGGCCTGGTAAACAAAAAGTATGGAAATTAATGACATCTACTGTATAAGTAAATGTAACTGAGTGAAGTGCTTAGTATATGTAAAACCTTTTCTAGTTATAAGTAATTGTCAAATATTAAAATGGCTATAATTTTTCTTATTGTTTGTTTGTTTCTTATTGTATTGTTTATTGTTGTCTGTAAAATAACAAATTACTTTAAAAATGCACAAAGAGCTTCAAATAAGACCCGTTTATTACTTTAATTAATATTAATTACAAATTAACACTTTTAATACTACTACTACTACTAATAATATTAATTATTATTATTATTATTATTTATTTTATTATTATTATTATTATTACTACTACTACTACTAATTATTTTATTATTGTTATTATTATTATTACTATTGATTTTATTATTGTTGTTATTAATACTATTATTATTACTATTTATTTATTTATTTATTATTGTTGTTATTATTACTAATTATTTGATTATTGTTGTTATTATTATTACCAATTGGTTGATTATTGTTGTTATTATTATTATTGTTACTAATTAGTTGATTATTATTGTTATTATTATTATTATTATTATTACTACTACTACTACTACTACTACTACTGATTAGTTAATTATTATTGTTAAACTTGCTGGATAAATTGGCGGTTCATTCCGCTGTGGCGACCCCGGATTAATAAAGGGACTAAGCCGACAAGAAAATGAATGAATGAATATGTCGAAGCGCAAGTATGACCCCGAATAAGACTTAAAGCCTCAGTGTTATATGTAGTGAGGTGCTCTCAAAAGAAAGCATGAAACCTTCTAAATTAAAACAACATTTAGAAACCATAAAACATGTTTTATTAAGTTTATTATTAACAGTTTTGTCATTTTTACTTTGTAAAATTTCTGTAATTTGATCCAGCAATGACAGCAATAAAATATTGTTGATTTGTAAGTCTTGGTGAATGTCTTATGATGTATCTGTTACTAGTTTACGTTAACAAATAAATACAAATTAATTATAAATCTTAAAATTGTATTATAGTTCCTAAAAGATTTGGGGCACGGCTTGATGACCATGTAAAAATGCGGGTCCCATGGCCAAACCAGTTGAGAACCCCAGATGTAAACAATTGTAAGCTCTTCTGTTGTTGTCTGTCCATCAGAAAGCTGTTCATCCCACCACTGGTCTTCTGGCAGTGTTTGTGGCTCTGAATTACTGCGATGTTGTGCACGTGGCAGGATTCGGGTATCCAGCATCCAGAAACCAGAATCAGCCCATCCACTATTATGGACAACAAACCATGAAGTCTATGAAGGTTGGTTTTCACCAGTGTCTGATCTGTGTTTATGTGTCATGGGTTTAAATTAAGGACGGGCATAAAATAATGCACATGCGACTGCTCCTGTGTGCAGCACTAGTTTCTTATAAATCTCCTCTAAAGCCTTCTGTTGTGTTTTGATGTGATTTTGGACTGTTGTAGCTCTGAAATAACTCAAATCATTCAGCATAGTGATATGGAGCTGTAATGCGCTCAAAACCTGCCGGAACTACTTTATTAGGGTGCAGTTGTTTTCAGGTAAGTACACAGCTAATGTTCATTAGCCAATCCACTGTTCAGATGTTGTATTTGAGACATTGGTCAGGTTTTTGCCCTCAAACTGTTCCAGTGTGTAGCACTAGTTTCTTCCACATCTCCTCCAAAGCCTTCTGTTGTGTTATAATGTAATTTTGGACTGTTGTTGCTGTTAAGTAGCTCAATTAATCACTCAGTGGAGTGATATGGAGCTTTAATGCGCTTAAAACTTGCCGGAACTACTTTATAAGTGTGCAGTTGTTTTCAGATAAACACTCAGCTAATGTTCATTAGCCAATCAGAATCAAGCATTCACTAGCCATGCAGTTTAAGTGTTTATATCTCATCATTGACTATGAGCCATTGAGTTATTAGACAGTAATGCACACCTGAGGTGGTGATGCGGTCAAATAAAGTGGTGTTACACCTCAGGTGTGCATTATTTTCTAATAATTCAAGAGACAGGTGTGAATTATTCTACTTATACTAGTGCTCTTACACCTAAATCCACTGTTCAGATGTTGTATTTGAGACATTGGTCAGGTTTTTGCCCTCAAACTGCTCGTGTGTGTAGCACTAGTTTCTTCCACATCTCCTCTAAAGCCTTCTGTTGTTTTTTAATGTGATTTTGGACTGTAGCAGCTCTGAAATAACAATCATTCAATCATTCAGCATAGTAATATGGAGCTGTAATGCACTCAAAACCTGCCGGAACTACTTTAGCTGTGCATTTATAGTCAGATAAATACTATATGACTATATGTATGACTAAATGACTATAAATGCACACCCTAGAATGTTCATCAGCCAATCAGAATCAAGCATTCAAAGTGTTTACATCTGCTGCGTTTAAATCTCCTGCGCTTTCTTTTGTGATTTCAGAATTCCTACCACGATCTGAATCAAGAAGCTCAAATTCTCCACAGGCTTGAAGAGCAGGGAGTGATTTTATATCTGCATCCTCATTCCTGACACACGTCCACACGTTCAGCTTATGAAGACACATGAAGCGTGTAAATCCAGCACTACAGACAGCATCGCCATCTACAGGCAGAACACCCCGCTGCAGAGCTGCTGACTGACTGATCCTGTTCTTCTGTGCTTTACACAAATACGCCAGACCCAGTGGCGGTTCTCAGGGGGTCCAGGGGGGGTCCAGTGTATCCTCATCTACAAGCTTGGGCTCCTTAATTTGGATCGTGGATTAATGGAGCCAGGGAGGTTCATTCCTGCAAGATAAACTCGCTACTGATTGTTCAGAAACACAAGCCCAATGTTATTAGATTTATTATAATCAGGTTGAACTATTATTAATTATGCATTATTATTAATTGTACCAAAAAATACAATATATATATATATATATATATATATATATATATATATATATATATATATATATATATATATATATATATATATATATATATATATATATATATATATATATATATATATATATATATATATATATATAT